GATGAGTGAGAGAGAGAGCAGGAAATGAACTGTCTCTCATTGATGGATTTATGTGGGAGTCTGGACGTAACTCTTAAAACTCACCCATTATACTTCACCAAAAAGGAAGTTAAAATCCTTTCATCGTTAAGGGAAAATCTTTTTTTACTTTGGATTACAACTCATTCCATAAGTGTTGGTTTTTCCATCGATTTATTAACTAAAAATGTAATATTACATCTGTATATATTTGTTATATATTAGATAATTTACCTGAGTCCTTTTTTTAAGAAGAGAAACTACTAACTGTAGGTATTAGAATACATTAGTTGGTGTTTAATGCAATTAATTGTAAATATAAGTCAATTGTGTAATTAGCTGGTGTTTAATGCAGTATAATTAATTATTGTTTGAAGGTTAGATCATAAACCGATAACTACTTAAGATAAATTTTTATTTTAATTTCTGATTTATTGTAAATACTCTTAATTTAAGAATTATTCATGTTACAATATTACATTATCATTAAACAATTTCATAAATTCATAGAGGAATTTGACTTAAAAATAAATAAAATTGCTCAGAATTGATATATCCAAAGTTTTATCACAAACTTACGTAATTATTGGATCTTTATTTCTTTCTACAAAAAAGATATATATATTTTTTTCAAATAAAACCCAAATATATGCAATATGAGCTAATAGAAAATTAGAAACGTATAATAAAATGGTATTTTTTTATTATATAATGTGAATTATTCATAATAAATGTGGAGATACAAGTTCTCTCTTATAAATTGCCAATTGTGTCTATCCATTTTTGGGCAATTCTAAGATTGGGTTAGTTCGATGAAAAGAATTTATTACAGATAAACTTTTAGTACTATCAATAAGTTTGAACCACTAATTGATAGGATCACACTTGTTATCTCTAGTCAAGCACTCGCAGTTATTTATGACGATGATGTTGGTTGAGTTCACATCCAAACAAATAGAGGCTCCATTGTATAGTTTAGAAGAAAGATGCATCTTAGAATCTAATATGAGTTCCCATTTTGAACTAGAATCTATACAAATATTACTTAATTTTACAAGTTTTTTCAATTCTTCAGCTCTTAAACAGAAATGCGTTCCATTAAGAGAGATAATCTGTTGAGATGTATAGCTCCAATCCTCATATTTAGCGCATGGACCCAATATTAACGGATCAAGTTCTGATTTTCTTAAGATACAAAGTCTTGTAGATGGATGAAAAATTACTTTATGCCTATTCTTTTCAAATAGTTCTAGTCCTCTAATTTAAAACGAATAAAATTCGGAAACTTAAAATAGAAACAAGTAAGTCTTTTAATGCATAGAAAGAGATCATGCGTGTGTACCTTGAAAAAAAATTTGGATGGCAAATATTTTCTGCAAATAACTTGGATTCCTAATATCACGCCAATTCCAATCAAATAATTCAAAATATTTATTTTCTCCGGTAACCCTTTTTTTCAAAAAATAACTTCTAACAAGTGTCCACAATACCCAATGTAAATCAATGTCAGCTATTATATCCATGAAACAATTCAAATACCTGTTGTCATTCATGTTTGTTCATTTTTTATCTGCTATGTATTCACTCATAAACAATGGTCAACCTTGGTCTAATAAGAATTCTAATGTGCCCCTCATATTACTCATTACTTTGCCACACTTGATTAAGGTTACCACTTTTCAATACACTGCTATCTGAGAATCCATACAAATGCTACTCAAATACTAGCTTTCCAGTGAATGTCAAGTTTTGCTCGATTTCGAATAAAGAATAAGTCTCTAACATAGTTTAGATAATAAAATATGACAAAAATATTTGAATTTATTTTATGCATTGACTCTGCTCCTGCTACCATATACCTTCAAGTTCGATCCATAATAATTACCAAAAATTATTATCAAACAATGTTGTAGAATAGATAAGAAGATAAAAGAGAGAGTAATCGAATAATATAATATCTAATTTTATTTACTCCTTATTTTTTAATCAAATGGTAATTTATTTTCTTTATTGATTTTTAAAAAATTCTTAATATAATTATATAATTATTACTAAGTGACATAACATATCACATGGCACTTATATGTCAGGTGATATAGTATCAAATTTAATCTTACCAACAAAAGAAAAAAAATAGTTTATCATAAAATGTTATTCAAATGGCCTACGTTCACAATTTTGGGCCTTTTGACCTCATTGTATTCCCAATATTATTTCTTATTTTTTCTGGGAAAATTCAAAAGACGAAGAAATTAATTACCTGATAAGCTTTTATGAGAGGAAGATCAATGATAGATGGATTATTGGATTGGATGCCAGCAATGGATACAAGCAGACGCAGTTTTTGAAAGGACTGTCTCACAGTTAAAGAGGCTAGAGAGTCGTTGGTGACCAAGAAAGTTGGCCAAGTGAACCGTACGCAATTGAATCCCATCTTCACAATTGTTTTTGAGATCAAATCCATGGGGCTCTTTCTGAGTCCCTCCTCCACCATTGGCTCCAGATGCATTGCCCAGTTGACACACGCCAGCTTTACCCACTGTCCTTTTTCGTCCACAATCCAACGATTATCGGTGGAGAAAGGGACGACAATGGTTGGCTGAGCAGCATTTTGTAGTATGATGATGATAAGGTGAAGAAGAAGAGGAGGAGCAAAGAAATGAAACTTGTTCTCTCCATTATTGGATTTGTGTATGCGAGTTCGCACTTTAACTCTTAAAAGTCACCCTTATATACCAGAGGAAGTTAAAATCCTTTAATCAACTTTATCAGCATTAAAGAAAAATCTTATTTTACTTTGGATTACAACTCATTTCATATATTTTAGCATCTCCATAAATTTATTAACTAAAAATGTAATACAACATCAGTATGCATTTGTTAAGTCCTTAAATTTAAAGGAGATACTACCAACTATAGGTGTTAGAATAAATTAGTTCATGTTCAATGTAATTAATTGTAAATATAGGATCCATTGTGTAAATACTCATATATACTTACTATTCCTTCCATATATATTTTTTCTCTAAACTTTTACTAGTCTAATTTTAGGTAGTTAGGTGTATGAGTTGGAGCTTTAATTTGGTTAAAATTTAGAATAATGGTACGAATTTTCTCAAAATGCAATGTAATTGTTGCTTGACAATAGATCATAAACAGAAAAAATTTTAAAGGTAAATTTTTATTTTAATTTCTACTTTATTGTAAATGCTCTTAATCTAAGAATTATTCATGCTACAAAATTGAATTTTCATTAAACAATTTCACAAAGTTATAGAACAATTTGACTTAAAAGTAAATAAAATCACTCATAATTGACATAAACAAATTTTACAAGGAATATATATAATTATTGGGTTCTTATTTTTCTCTAAGAAAAAGGTATTGGACTTTTTTCTAAGAGATATTTTTTCTTTCAAATTGTAACACTTGGCTCCGGAAATTTAGTATGAGATAATGTAGCACCCGGAAAGGAGGAGGAAAAAAAAAAAAAAAGCCACGTCAGCAGCCACGTCAGCAGGCCCGGTCAACAGTCCCGGCCAACCGGGGCCTGCCACATGGCAAGACCACGTCACTCCGAAAAGTAGCCACGTTGGCGATCCGCGTGGGTGAAATCCGACGGCCCAGATCAATCGCGCGATCGGACGGCCCAGATTCAATCGCACGGACGGCCCAGATTCAATAAAAAACGAACGGCCCATATTAAAACGAAATGGACGGCTGAGATCAAAAGGCAAGGGGTTATAAATAGAACCCCCACACCAGACCACAAACCCTAGCCGCCTGCCGCTCGCCGGAGACGACGAACCAGAGGCCGACCGCCGCCACCCGCCGCCGCACCGGGGAAATTTCTGACCGCCGATCGAGGTAAATTTCATACCCCCGACTCGTTTTTTCACGCTGATTCCTCCTGTGGCCAAATCAAAGCCGAAATCCCGGCCAAACGGCCGGAATACGCGGTCGAAGACCAGCGGCGCAGCCGCGCCCCCTCTCGGTTTTTGCCTCCGACGAGGCCCTTCCCGGCCTCCGTTTGATGCAATTTTTATATCACCGTGATCACCATTCTTTTCTCTACAGGTTGACCAGAGCCAAATCACCAAAACACGAACTTCGCCGGAGAGCCGCCGCACCCGAGAGCGCCGCCGCCGGTAAGCTCCGTTTTTCCGTGATTTTTTGGCCCCCCGAGGGCCCTAGGGTTGTTTTCTCACAGGGACTGATGCGAGTGTGGCCGAATTCGGCCGCAAACGGCCGAAAACAGCCAACCCGAGGCGACTCGCCGCCGTGCCGGAGTTGCGATTTGGGCCGAAAGAGGCCCTGGGCCTAATTTGGGTTTTTTTTGGAACACGTGCAGGTACCAGTAGTGCGTTTCAGTTCCCCGAGAAAAATTCAGGGAAAATTAGGGACAGCTTGCAAGCGCACTGTGAAGCCGTGTTCGGACTCCGAAACGAGTAAGGACCCCGAACCCTATTTCCTATCACGGTATTAAAGTTCAAAATGATAAAACGGTATTTCTTGAATTAACGAATGTGTGAAATTGCTTAAGGTGGCTAATGGAGCCCGAGTCTAGTGTGATTGGTGATTTACTGTTATTTGGCCTGTTTACAGCTTTAAATGCAAAATGAGGTTTGATGTGTTCATTTTACAGATTTGTGTGCATATACTACGTTTTTATTAATTATGGGTTGAATGACTGAAAAACTGATACTGTATGTTGTCTGTTTGGCATGAATTACGATTTGTTTGTTTAAATGTGAATTGATGATGCTGACTGAGGAAAAGGAAAATGAAAGATTGTGTAGACTGATAATTGTATTATGGGGGTCAGCCTGACTAGATATCCTGGGAGATGGTGGACGGACCGGGTCCGTAGAGAACCCTACCGGGATTGTGGTCTCACATGCCGGGCTGGGTATGGAGATCCTATGGTTTTGGCGCCCATACCGGACGGGGTATGGGGACGACCCGTTTCACCATCATACCGGACGGGGTATTGAGGTTTATGGTTTTGGCGCCCATACCGGACGGGGTATGGGGACGGCCCGTTTCACCCTCATACCGAACGGGGTATTGAGGTTTATGGTTTTGGCGCCCATACCGGACGGGGTATGGGGACGGCCCTGGAAACTGATTATGAATGTTAAAGGTTAACGGGTAGCGGGACCCCTATGGACCCCCATGGATACTAGTAGGCTGGTAAATGAGAAAAGGATATGTTGTATAATGATTGAATTACAAAATGCGTGATAAGTGCTATGTTTTACAGCTTATATTATTCCATGATTGTGATAATGTTATTGTTTTCTTATATTGTTTCATGAATTCCACCGAGGTAAGTGGATGGTAAAGGTTTTATCATAAATAAAAGGATTTGTTGTAAATCATGCTCCATTGGTCTTTTGTGTTTTTCTACCCACCTTTACCTCCGTGACGGTGAGATATCGTGATGTTCTTACTGGGCTAGTGTAGCTCACTCCTTATTTAACCATTTCAGATCAGGAAGACATGGTTCCCGAGCCCGTTCCGCAGGAGGACGACGAAGGGGATGCCTAGAGACTCTGTAGTCATACTCATAGTTTTATTTTCGAGTTTCTCTCTTAGTTAGTTTAATCTTTTATATTTTAAGTATGTTTTTGGTTTTCGTGTAAGGGATGTTAACTGGAATTTTGATCTCGCTTCCGCATTTGATATTTTTGAATTTAAAGTTCTATTTAAAATTTCTGGGGCCGTTACAGATAATTTTTTGAATTAATAAAAAAAAATATATAAATAATTTTATCTTGTTTTATTTTAATTTTTTTAGAAATTTTGAGAAAAATAGAATGAGAGAAAAAATTAAAAACAACTATGGAGAAAATGGGTGAAATTGTGAATAAGGATGGTGTTTTTGAAAAGAAATTTGAAAACAATGAGTAAAAATGCAAAAAAAAAGAAAGTTTGGCCATGTTGGACGGCCCGGTCAGCAACTATGATGAGTCAGAACGCGTTGCATTGTGGACATGCTGACATCGGCTCCACGCGGGCGATTCGCATACCTGGGCGATATGACGGCCCAGGTTGCATCCCGCGAGCACGAATGACCTAGAAGCATTCCCTCTTCAAGCACAATCGCACGGATGTGATTGATCGCGATGGATGGTCTAGAT